TCAACTCCCGTGCAGAGAGTGCTCCAGTACCTCCTGTCCACAGCCAGGAAAGGGCTGGGAGACAGGGAACTGTGCAGCAGGAATGTGCCAAGGACATGGGCATCATCCCATGGGCTGGTGCCTTTGCAAGAGATCATCCTGGCCCAGCAAAGGGAGAAGGGGTGATAATAGGGGAGGCAGAGCTCAGTTCCACAGCAGCACGAGGGATTGTCCCTGCTAGCCTGAGCCATGGGCTGCTAGGATAACGTCATGCAAGCAGGAAAGCTGATGCTGGCTGCTCTGGAGCTTTGCAGCTAGGCTGCTGCTGTTGGGAGGCACTGGATCAAGGCAGTAAAGAAATGAAAGCAATCCACAGTTGATTATACCAATAAGATAAGGGAGATGGATAAAAAAGAACAAGAAAATTATTACTTAGCAAGACAAGAGTGGTGAGTAGGTCTGCCCATGGTAGAGAAACAATTATGCTGGCTTTGTTTTTGGAGGAAAAGTGCTGCTTTTTTATTTTGGAAATCAAGAGGGAACCTTTCATCATCACTGGTGACAAGCTGGTCTTTTCTCTAAACTCTGTCTGTAATGATTGCGTGGGTCAAAATCTCCTGAGAAAGCTCCTCCATGGGATCACGAGTTTGAGCTAAGAAGTAGCAAAGCAGGGAGCCCGTGGCTGGAAAGGCTGGTTACAGAAGTTTGTGGGGACACCTTTATGTCCATTACATTACAGATGGGGAAACTGAGGCAATGGAGCCATGTCTAGGTGTGTGTTCAGGGTCCACCAGCAACTCGGGGGGCTTTTCCTGCCTGCCCTGTGCACAAAGCCCCACCAGTGGCTGTTGGCTGCCGGCCACTTGGCTTTAGCTGCCTCCTGCCCACACGGACACTGTGCTGAGCACATGGTGCTGTGTTGATTTGAAGCCCACGGTGCCTTTCCTCCTGCTCTGTGCTCGTCATCGCAGGGGCTGTGTCAGTGGACCGACTTTACACTTCGACGTCGGTGAGCTCCACTTCGGTGACATCTCCTTCGGTGAGTGTTCCCTGGGCTTGGGCACAGCGTGAGGGATCTGTGTGTTCCAGAATGGACCACTTGAACATAAAAACATCCATCACTCGTCTTCTGCCACAGCAGCCTCTTCAGGCTGGGAACTCCAGGACTGCTGGTGCCTCAGGTAGCATTTTGCCATTGTGAGATCAAATAGGACCAAGGAACAGAAACCCAGTATTTTCTGGTGTTTCTGTCCTGATTTAAAAGACAGATGTCTGCCAAGGAAGGTGGGAATCTTCCTGGAATGGAAAGATGACCCCCTCCATCCAAATTATTATACCTTTGAAATTACAGGGCTTCCAGGCAAAAATATGGGGAAAGGAATAATAGTTCTTTACTAGAATGTATCAGGACAGCACAAACAACAACGCAATAAAAGGAGTTTCCAACCTGCCAAGTGCTGTTTCTCCTCTTTGGTGTAGTTATGATCACAGGCAGGAGGAGCTGTGGGCTCTGGCAGGGCAGTGATCCCTTCCCAACTGGGAGGGAGGAAGGGAGGAAAGGTCTGCTCCCTGCAAAACCTCAGGTCTGATTTCACAACTACCACAACTCCTAAAAACCCTGAACAGAAAAGCCCACCCCCAGAGCCACAACCCCTCAAACCGCTATCCCCCTTCCCAGACCAAGGGGAAAATTCACTACGAAACCTAAACATATAACACTGAACTTTTTAAGAAAACAATTTGCCTTTCCTGAGCTGCTTCTTCCCCTCCCTGCATCACCACTGAGGCACTTGTTAAGTTGCCTTTTGAATAAATGAAACAAGAAAGGCAACAGGTAGAAATATGATTCTGTAACAGGAGATTCATCCTACTTAATCCTAACAGGAGATTCATCCTACTTAATCCAATTTCATTCCTAAGGTTTCTTCAGCTGAAGGCAGCTGTTTTATCTTTGCTTCTTTTTAACTGCTGACTGTTGTCTGCGTGTGGTGGCCTCAGTCTCATTTGAGGTTTGGACATGTGGGTTTGTCCTTTTTGTGCCCCTCTTGCCTCCCTGCTGGAGTCACTGCTGGAGCTGGCAGTGATCACTGGTGATGGGCACAGAGAAGCTCTGGGCTGTGCCTGCAGTTGTTTTTTTCCCCATCTGTGTTCAAATGACTCTTGGTGAGCAGGCCTGGGAGAAGTCTCCTCCCCACAGAGCTGGCCAGCCAAGCCAGATGTCCAGTGCAGAGCAGTGGTGGCCGGTATCTGGGCTCTGCAGGACATCCCCACCATGTGTGGCTGGAGCTCTGGCTTTCCAGGATGGAAAGCAAATCTCAGAGCTAACGTGGGGTAAACCCTTGCAGGCAGCAATCACAGGGAGCAGCATGGCTGTGATGGCCCCCTTTGTTGGGTGAGGTGGGACATGGTTCCTAATTGCTATCCTCAAAGCAAGGCTCGGGTTTGCCTCCAGTTGAGTGGGCTCTGAGCTTTCACCTCCTCAGTCTGTTTGGCCCAAACCAAGAGATGCCTTAAGGATCCTGCAGAGAGAAACTGCATTAGGGAGCTTTGCATCATGTTCTAGCTCCTGATTCCATGCTCACTTTCTTTTGCTGTAGCTTCTTCTCAATGCTGACTCACTGTTTATATATCTTGAAAACAGAGGGAGCATTGGCAGACTTAACAGGGAATTTTACAGCTTGAATTTTCAGAGCAAATGCTCGGTCTGGATGCACACTCATCAGAGGCAAATAACTGATGCTGGTTTGGGGCAGGTGAGGGAGCTCCTCCCCATCAGAAAGAGAGAAGCTTGGAGTGCTCAGCAGGGCTAAGAGTGGGCATTTTCAAGGCTAAAGTTTGGAATCAGTGTCAAAGCGAACTAAGTGACGGTAATTCCTCATGCAGCTTCTCGGTGAGCTGAAGTTCAGATAGTAAAGAGCTAAACTCCAGTCACACTTTCATCCTACCAGGATATTCACATCAGGAGTCACGACACAATTGGTGCCTAAATGGATATTTGTGTCCTTTTCCTAGGCTTTCCTCACACCATGACCTGTCGCCTCACTAACACCTCCCCGGTGTCCGTGACGTACAAGCTCCGCATGTCAGACGATGGCACGCAGCCTGCTGTCAGCAGCATTGATCAAATCTGCAAGGAAGGTGACCCATCCTGGAGGAAGGGAATTCATTTTTATGTGGAGCCAAGGGAGTTTACAATGAATCCCAGCCAAGGGACCATCCTCCCCCAGGGACACCAGGATATCGAGGTATGGAAAGAGTCCAGCCATACACGCTTCAGCACCAGGGCTGAAGCCTCACTGGAGTGTGGGAGGGCTTTAGCTCTGATACCAGCTTTGAGCACGGTGTGAGTGAGAGATCTGCACTGGCCTGAGGCCTCTGTCAGCTGGATAACTCGGGATGTTCCTGAAGGAGCATTGTTTTGTTCCCAAAATCACAAGCTGAAATCAGGTACCAGATGGTCAAGTACTGGAGCCATTCTTGTGTTTTTGAGAGTGATTTCTTTGACTGAAAGCAGGCAGAGGAAGGATGAGGACAGAAGGCTGCTGTTAGTGAGATGTCATTTTATAAAGCAGTTCACTTTTCTTCTTGGTCTCGTATCTCCTCTCCTGGGGAGCAGAATGATTTGTGTTTCCTGCAGGGGTCTTCAGTGGAGACAAAAACTCTTCAGTCATGAACTGCCCAGCACCTGCTGGGCCACACTTTGCCCTCAGCTTCCTGCTGTAAATCTGAACTCATTCTGTCCAAGTCAGCAGATTTCCTCTGCATTTATGTCATTGTAGTCAAATGAAAAATTGTCCCTTTAATTTGAATACAGTGGCTCATAGAGCTTTAGCCTAATGTTTTAATTCAGCTGACCTATGCCATGATAGCAAGGTGTGTTTAACAAATCTGGTATTGCCAGAAGGCTTTTGTTACTCTCAGAGACTGTGCTCTACACATGGATCAGCAGAGTAATTAAGGCAAAATCCTCCCTTTCCTTCCCATGAAACAAGAACTGGAGAATACCACGTGTGGGTAATGAGCTTTTATAAGGAAGAATTTACTGCTCTT